CCCACCCTCCACAACAAACAAGCATAAGACTTCATTTTAAGCTGTTGTGCGATCACCTCTATGTGCACCACACAAACGCATGTAAACCTGGGAAAAAATATTTTTTAAAGTCAAATTAATGAATGTTGTAGATGTTCATTTTTTAGAATATAATTTGGTATTTTTCTGGTCCTGAGATGGAAAAACCCCTTGCGGGGGTAAGTGAAGGGACTTCCAGTGGCAAAGGTCAGGGGTTAGGAGTGGGACTTCTGGTCCCAAGATAGTGCCCAGGGGGGCAGGGCTGTCAATGGGTGGGACTACCCACGTGGCCTTCAAAAGCTCACTAAACCTTGTTAAGCAGCCCTCCACCTGAAATAATTGCCCACCCCTGTGATAGACCAATTGGTGGGTTGTGGTTTGCAAGGAGCCACAAGGTGAAACCAGTCTGTAGCCTCCCCCTCCTTCTTCCAGCTTATGCCTGCAAGCTAGAGTGAGTCTGCACTGCAGGGTGAGATCTGAACTGTGCATGTTGTGAGCGAGAGCCCAAGGGTTTGCAAGAAGTTGGACAACCCTGTGATAGACCATAACATAATGTGAAAGACCATGGGTCAGCAACCTCATAGGAATGTTGGGCCAAAGTAAAACAACTTATTCTGAGGATAAGTTGATACCATTTTCAACCCACTACCATAATTTCTCTGGTGCCTGTCATCCCCATCACCAAATTGCCACTAATGCACTTGAGACTTGCTGACAAATTGTCTCTGATATCCTGCTTCTGTGGACTAGATGGAATCACTCAGTGGACCGTTGGTTCCAGCCCTGTAATAGACTGTTTTTCAGCTCCATCAAGATTGCACACCATCCATTATACTAGCATTAAGATGCTTCTAAATTATTCCATATATTTTAAAATATTGAATAACATACAGTTACTAGGCTAAAGAATAACTAAGTCGATGTCCACTTAAGTGGGGTTTCAGTTTCTGCTTCATGAATACATTTGAGTATTGTGGCATTTTTCATAGCATTTGGCCATAGAAGACTGTCATTTTGATAACTAATCTATTTACTTAGTTTTTACACAACAACAGAATCTAATTTATTTGTGTGCCCATCTGGGCTAGATTGCTCATTTTAAATTAATTTAACAAATGATAGACTGTTACTGGCCTTTTCTTTCCCAGGAGAAGAGGTTGACAGACAGCTGTGTCGAGATGCTATCTACCCAATCCCCATTGTCTGTGAAGTTCCATGCCCAAAGGATTGTGTTCTCAGCATGTGGTCTGGATGGTCCTCCTGCTCACACACCTGCTCAGGAAAAACCACAGAAGGAAAGCAGATGCGTGCCCGCTCTATTTTGGCATATGCAGGTGAAGGTAAGGATGCATACTTCACCAGGGTTTGTGTTTGATTATGAATTGTTTTCTTTGTAGTGATAAAATAATTCCATGATCAGAGGGAACTGATTATTACAAAGCATCCTTACTCCTCCTCTTATTTAAAGTACCTGTTATATATAAAGTAAAAGCTTTTTTGTGCTTTGTATTATTTAAATTAGAGGATTCTTTGGTATGTTTAAAACTAATCTGGGCTACTCTTTGTTCTTGAACAAGTTCTCTGTATTCTTATTTCAAATACAGATTTTCTGTTTTGCATTTTAATTTAAACTGACAAATGTTTTACCATAAATAATGTCCAGTACAAGATGTATATGGAAGGTCCTTTATTGTCCTGAATTATTCTCATAGAGATCTGATAGCTGGTCTCTGTAGTCGGAAGCATTTCTATTGGAAGAGGGCTACTAATCAAGGGCTATCCAAGCAGGTGTTTATTCAAATTACCCCTCTCCCCGCCAGTATATAGTCTGAGTTCCAAAGTTATATGCATGAGGGCTGTATTCCTTTTAGCTATGTTTAATTTAATTCAATGCTGTGACTTAAATCACTAGGGCTAGACACAGGTGTTCAATTTCAGACATTTGCAGTGCCAGAATAAGTGGCAATGAAAAGATTGCTTCTCTGTGAATGAACATACAGTATTTTCATAAGGACTGTGCAACTTTGATTTAAGCTTCCAGACATCCAACCTCCATTCTTCAAATGCTTGTGTGGCTTATGTATTGTTCTGTGGTATACTGTTGTATTCAGTCTTATCTTTCTAAAATCACAGAACCAACAGGAATTGTGTTGTTCCAACTCATGTTCTGTTGCATTCATTTCCATTGAACAAAGAAATAGTAGGTATGTGTCAGTATTATATATTAACAAGCAATGGCAATGCTGTCATATTTGTTACAATTTTAGTATAAATAAAAAAAATACATATTGATGAATTTTATAAGGTAAGTTAGAAACGCATTTTCCAATAATAATTTTAAAAATAATTTTCATGAGCCATTTATTTTCCTGCGTATATTGAGGCATTTGCCTTTCAAGTGCTCATTTTACTTTGCAAGAAACAAATGCACCCTAACTTTGTGCCACAGAAATATAAATCTGATCCTTATAGAAGGAAATAATGCCCCCAAGTTTCATTAACTTCATTAATGTCTTTTTAAAAAGTAGGTAGTAAATCCTGGAAGCGGGTGCTCAACACCTCCCACCCTCATACCTGAGGCATCAATATATCAAAAAAAAACTTAAGCATGAACTGAATTTTAAAGGCTTGGTTGAACACTACTGAAAATCAGGGGAGTTGGATGAAGCCTCAAAGCAATTAAGAATATGCTTTATTAAATAGGGGTGGGATTAACTGCTTCAGTCTAAGGGTAAAAACAGATGTTGTAAAATGAAGCAGATCATGCTATGGCAGGACACATCCTGTCATAGCTGATCCACTTTATTGGGTGAAACGTACAGCATCCTTTGTCTTGCACTGACCAGAGGCTCAATGCAGGACAACATTTGTCAAGTTCCTCTTGCCCAGGATTTCCCAAGTTCTTTGCTGACCCATACTTCCTTGCCAGGGCTTGGGTCCCACACTGCCTGTGCCTCTCCATGAGGCACTGGTTAGCAAGGGTCCCAGTGCAGAGGCATGGAGCAGCACATGACCAGTGGAATCCCTACCCCCTCATGCCTCCGTGCAAGGACCTGCGGTGACCCATGCCTCCTCATGAAGCACAGGTTGGTGAATGTCCTGGGAAGGAAGTTCAGCGTGGCGTGGGTTCTGGGGAATTTCTGATGCTGTTGTCTCCACTCTGGAGCCTGCAGTGGGTCCGACATCAACCCATGCTTCATGCAGAGGAATTTCCTGGGTCCTGTATTGCCCCATGCCTCCTCCCATGGGTTAACTTGAGGCCCAGGATGGATGTACAGAACTGCATGGGTCCTGGCATGGTGACATGGGCCAACAGGGTTTCCCAAGGTCCCATGCCTACAGACTGAGACCTGCAAGGGCTTTCCCCGCTTACAGAGATGTGCTCCTGGAGATCTCATAGCTGGTCTCTGTAGGTGGAGCACCCCAAGATTCCCCAAGGCATGCCATTATAAACAGGGAAATCTGGGCAGATGCTCTTGAGGGGCCTAATCCTGCCTAACCCTAGGAGTTCCCAGAGTACACATGTTCAGGCCCCTCCAAGGGCGTAACAAGGGGTAGGGATGTCTATTTGCTTACCATTTGTGTTGTTATAAAAAGGCAATGTCAAGCAAAGTCTGTTTCTACCCTAAGAGTCTGTTTGCTGAATGATTTTCCAATAAACTGTGTATAATTTATAAATAAAAGACAAACTTCTAGGATTGAAATACCATTACTACTGTAACTAAATTGACTCTATCAACTTTGTTTTAAGATCTTTCATCTTTAAAGAACTTTATTATTTCAAGGCCTGAATAAGTTTCTTCTTATAACTAGGATGACCACATAATTGTTAAGGAAATCCAGGATGGGATGAGGGAATCTGGGGTGGGGGACACCACCATGCACACACACAAACTTGGGCAAACATACACACACACACACACCACACACAGACCACTCCCCCCAACTCCCAGTAGCCCTGATGGCAGGGCAGAACAGCGCAGAGACCCATGGCTGGGCTCCATTCCCCATGCACAGAAGCTGAACCTGGCTGGGAGTGGCCCCACCTCCCTGCTGCCAGCAGCTGTTAAAGGCCACCACACACAGCCCAGCCCTCAGCAGTGGCTACAGCAGCAGGGCACGAGGCTGCCAGCAGTGGGCAGCCATTCAGGCTTGCCCCATGCAGGTGCCTGGCCCCAGCTCTGGCCCTGTTCCCTGGCCCACCCCACCCTGCTCCAACCAATCTGTGCTCCAGGCTGGAAGAGCAGTGCACAGCCCAGCCTGCAACCCCTCTGCACCTCTATCTGCTGTTCAGCAGGAGCTGGACCAGGCACTGCAGGTAGCAGCAGCCTTTGCCTTCTTCCTGCAGCAGCTAAATCCAGGGCTTTTGCTTTAATTTACCCCAAGTAGCTGGGACACAAGAACAGCCTACAAAATCTGGGATTCCCCAGGCCAATCCAGGATGTACGGTCACTATAATTATAACATCTTCTTTGATGATTCTATTTCTCTGAAAGAAAATAAAAATCGTATCTTGCCATTCTGGTTCTTAATGTTGATATATTTGGAGCTCAGTCAAAACTTGGATTTTGCTTTTTTTGAAGTCTTGTCCAATCCCATATTATACTTACAAGTTTCATGGAAGGAGCATACCATAGTATCTTGATTCTTGGTTATTTTAAAGCCCTTTTATGGTGTCCATGTGGTCTGAAAAGGCCATATACCAGGAAATACCCATGGGGCACATCTACACAAGATGCTTTGCTGCACAGTAGATAGAGCAAATTAGAGCATAGTAATCATCATCTACATATGAAGACCCTTATTGCACAGTAATTTGCTCTACTCGGCAGTTAATTTACTACCTCTAAATTTGCTACTACTGCACAGTGTAAGACACATGTAGACAGCTGACCAAAAACAAATTTGTTTCCAGTCTGCTGGGCACCAGGGGGTGGGATATTGCTCCCTGCCCCCAGAAGCTGCCTGCTGCCCCCTGCCCTGGCAGCAGGGAGCTCCCAGCCCCCACTCCACAATTGTGGAATAGGGGCTGGAAGATCCCTGCACAGGAAGAGTTCCCCATTCAGCCTAGAGCTGTCTGGGACCTTCCCCAGAATGGAACAGTTCCCAGCCAGCCTCAGGCTTTGTGGGGAAGTCTGCACAAGCAGCCTGGGGCTGGCCAGAAACTGTCCTAGTCTGGGTCAGGTCCCAGCCCCACAGCTTTTTCCATTCAGGCAATTGAAGAATGGGGCTTGGAAAGAGCTGTTGAGGAGGGGCATGTCCTAACCCCCTTCCCCGATCTGCCAGTGGGGCAGCTAGCAGCAAGCCCCTGGCTGGGTGGGGAATCCCCACAGCTCCTTCCAAGCCCCCTGCCATTGATCAGGAGCCAGGGCTGGAAGCTCTCTGCTGCTAGGGCAGGGAGACATTGTCCATGCCCAGGTTTTGCCACCCATTCCCACCCAGCATCAGGCAGCTCCTGGGGCAGGGAACCATCTCCCAGCTCCCACCAAGAGACAACCATCTCTTGGCCCTGTGTTCCCTGCCAGCCCCTGGGCAGCACCCAGGGAGAGCCTAGAGCTCCCCTTGGCTGCTGCAGGGGGGGAGGAGGGAGAAGCAGGGTGGGAGCATTCCTTTCTGGCTTCTCCCATTGAAATCAAATCTGTTTCCAAATGCGCATATATGTAGATGCCTGCCCAGGGTGTGTTTACTTCACAGTAAATTATTCTGGAGTAAACCCAAACCACAGCATTTGCACGTGTAGACACACCCATGGTGTAAAAACTTGTTGGCCCTTTTCACAGTCTCTAATGTACTGTGGTTTGGGAATGGGAAGGGAAAAGGATATGACCAGAGTATATGGCTGCAATTCACTTGTTCTTGGTTGAAAGAAAAGACAAGCATAAATTTTGAGCAGGTGTGAAACTGCTCTAAATCAGGTTGCAGGCAAGGCTAAGGAGGAGGAAGCACAAAGGCAGTAAATTCCTCTCTTCTCTTCTCCACCTTGACGCAATCATCTCCATTCCTGTAGGAAGCAGACTTGAGAATTGAGAATCTGATCTAGGGTGTGCATGCATTTTTTCCAGACCCAGATAAACTACATCTACTTGTATATGCTATATGGTTATGAAAATCAGGAATGGATCTCTTCTCAGAGAGAGGATCTTATTTCCCAAGACAGGTTTTGCATGGCATTTCAAATGTGTAAACTAGTGCCAATGCACTAACTTATTCATATTTTCTGGAATCATTCTCCTCTTTTCAGTTGAAGCGAATATTAATTTATGAAGTTGTTTTTCTGTGAGTCAGGCAGTTTCTCATTTGTGTTACTGCTGAGCTAATCTGCCCTGTGCAGCTAGAAACTCAGGAAAATCATTGTCTGAAAATTTAAAACGACAGTAAAGGACAAGTCAGTAACCTCACACATCACACAGCTGTCATAGAGATCCAGTTTTAATCTACATAACATTCACGTCTTTCCATCCCATGTAGGGATGCAGCGTCTGATTTTTCTTCCTGACCCTAATGCTTGGTATGTATTTGCTGTAAGTAATAAGTAGACGCTGATGGTATAGACAGGCATAACAATTGTAATACTTTCAGAGAATACCAATTAAGCAATTGTAATGCAACTGTTATACCTACACGATTCCATAGCAATACAAGTGTAGCACAACCACCCCAACTTTAACTCTCTTTCATTCAGGGTCAAAGTTAGTGAGACTTAGCCCCTGATAGACATACAAGTGGGTGCAATGGGATCTAATGCAAGATCCCCAACAATTGTGCTTTTTGCCAAGCCACACATGCATGGCAAGGGTGTGATTGCAGGATCCAACATTACTTCCCATCACCTTATTGCTGGTGCAGGGGGAGCCCAAGACCGTGATCCTGAGCTCACCCCACACTGGCAAGTAGCAAGCTCCCATAGGTTGGAACCTCATCAGCGGATCTGGGCTCCCAACTATGGAGGCACACCATACATCATGCATCACAGGGCCCTCAGCTGATCTTTATAATCTACTTGAATCCCTCTAAACTCTTCATTCCACAGGCATTAATGACCCTCTCTTCTTTTTAATGGTCTTGATGTTGCACTGATGAAACTATCTTTTCTTCTGACATTCTGCTGTTTGCGAACTCTAGCTAGAGTGTTAACTCAGGTGTACATAAACTCAGGTGTTGAAATAACTGTCAAGCTCCTCAAGAAGGCTTGATTTGTTTTATGAATCTGCAGTGATGTACCTTTAATGACAACAGGACTCATGAAACAACATATTTTGATTCTTTTTTGCCTGGTTTGTTATGTTTTTATACATAATAGAAGATATAGAAAATTAATGGGCATTCCAATACATTTATATTTGCTTCAATCTTTAAGTGAATAATATAGTCCTAGGGTCCCTCGTCAATTTGGAACCCACACTACATAAAATTATTCTTTCCTATATGAGTTTCCTTATATTTGTCAGTACTGAATCTAGTCTGTGAATTTATTCCTAAAATCCTTCAGAATTCTTCATTACTGATCAACTGTACCCCAGTCTTTCTATGTAGCACTTTGTTTCAGTGCTTCCTCTTCTGACATTTCAGTATTCAACACTATCTAAACTTTGTTACCTGAAACAAGTAGGTTTTGAATGCTGTCTTGCCAGTAGCCCTTACAGTAAAATCCCATAGAAAAAAATCATCTAGTTCTTTCACAATATCTTTATCTTCTTTAATTATTCCTTTTATTTCCTGATACTGTAGCAGACTCACCAGTTTATTATGATCAACTTGAGAATGTTGATCTGTTATGTGGTTTATTTCCTTTCTAAATTTCTACTTTACTAGGCTATATGAGTCTACCAAATAGTTCGTATTTCTGTATGCTGGTTTTATTTGGACTGGGCTTTCATTTCTCTGCAGTGAATGTATTTGCCTTGAATAAATTCTTGAATCTTTTCATTTAACCATATATTTTACTTGCCCTGTGCTTCTGGGTTTTGTTCAGGGCTATGCATGTGCTGTCCTGATATGAAATTATGCATGTTGTACCATCTGTGACTAAATTCTGGAAGGGGTGTGTGTGTGTGTGTGTGTGTGTGTGTGTGTGTGTGTGTGTGTGTGTGTGTGTGTGTGTGTGTGTGTGTGTGTGTGTGTGTGTGTGTGTGTGTGTGTGTGTGTGTGTATACACACACATACACACATGCGTGCACACACACACACATACGTTTACATACATACATATGTGTGTGTGTATGTATGTATGAGTATATATATGTATAGATGCATATATATGTGTGTATATATGTGTGTGCATGTGCGTGTGTGTGTATAATCTTTCTAAAGATTAGACTTACAGTACTAGTCTTTGCTATGGTTTCACACTCTGTAAAATTAAGGTTAATCGCACAGGATTTGCTATGAAAAGTTCAATGAAAGTTAATTCTTCAACCAACTCTAAAAGTCAAGCCTTACTGGGATAGAACATGCATAAGTGCCTGCCAAAACTGGGATTTCATCCTAGAACTTGGTTAAAAGTGACCTCTCCTCTTGTGTATGCTGGGACTAGCTGTTCAAAGAAATGATTATTTAAAATGTAGAGAATTTGATCCTGTTGTGACATTTGTCTTGTTTATGTGGGAAAGAGGAAGTTACCCATCATTTCTTTTATTAGACCTAGAGGCCTACTTGATCTCTGTCATCACTGAGCATTTAATATACCCTTTCCTGATGTGCAGCAATTGGGCAGGATGCCAACTTAAATTCTGAGGGTGACAGGCAGGGAGGCAAATATGTTTCCTCATAAATCCTATACAAGAGCACATGCTTCTGTTTTCGAGAGAAAAACAATGTATGCTTCATGTCATGTAACAAGCATATAGTTCATCACTGTACTTTCCAGACAGCGTAACATATGTAAACTATTTTTCTGTTACATTTTACAGCATTTTATTTCCTACTTCATTATGAACATTTGCACTGCTTTGTTATTCCAGGAGGTGTTCATTGCCCAAACAGTAGCGTGCTACAGGAAACCCGCAGCTGCAATGAACACCCTTGCACTGTATACCACTGGCAGACTGGACCTTGGGGCCAGTGTATAGAGGATGTGTCTGTGTCTGCATTCAACTCATCTACTAGTTGGAATGGAGAAGCCACCTGTTCTGTTGGGATGCAAACAAGAAAAGTCATCTGTGTGAGAGTGAATGTGGGACAAGTGGGACCAAAAAAGTAAGGATCTGTGCAGTGTTGTTTATTAAATTAAATGATCTCTATATTTTGCTTTTTCGATGCAGATAATTCAATGATATGTGAATTTGGTATGCACAAGGAAAAGATATAGCTGGTTTTTTTATGTCTGTTCTTAAATAACTAAACTCTTAAAGGTATAAAACTAACATGCTAGCAGTAGTGTAAGAGCTATAGAACTCCTCTTCTCCCTTGCTTGCCATGGAGAGTTCTCACTATGGTAGTTTTTGCTGACACTTCCATTGCAGAGTCGTCAAGCAGGGACACAGACAACAGGCCAAATCCATCTCTACAGTTGCTGATGAGTAACTGTATGACCCTGTGCCTTTCAGTGAATCATTGAGAGGCAGTGTTTCTTCTGGAGCTATCTATGATTATCTTATTAGGCAGTCAGTAGACTAAGGACATGGGGAGAGGGAAGCAAACTCTTCACTGGGGAGAATACAGTGGCTTGAAAGCCTTTGCTGTCTTTGAGGGTGTATAGAGGTTTGTACCTCAGGATCCAAGTAGGATTCTGAAGCTGTGGATTGTAGGAGGATGTATAACTATAGCTGGATCCTTACCATGAAGCCTAGCAGAGCCAGAGTAAACATCTCAAGCTTTTAGCCTTACCACACCTGCATATTTCACAAGGGGTGCCTATGTCCCAATGCTCTAATGATCTAGTGTGGTGTATGATGAGGGTTCAGATACAAATGAGTTGCAGGTGAAATGAATGTGACAGCATCTTATAAAATCTCCATATAGTTTGTTATTTTGTAGTATGATTAGCTTACTCTAGTCAGGAGAGATTCAGAGGTGGAATAGGTAGTACATTACAGAGCAAGAACAGAAGTTCCCATATGTTTTCCTGTTTCATTAGAACTAGGGTCAAGAAATTCACTTGACAGGGAAGGGTGAAGAGGGATGACAGGGAGAATTTTTATGCATAGTAATTTGCATACCACATATTTTATAACATACATGCCGCCACACTCAGCCATTGTTAGTAGCGTTCTCTGCAGTTGTGTAATACTAGTAAACATTTTTGTTGCCAGCCAATTTACATTTTAAGTCATTTTACAGTGAGCTTACCATTGATGTTTAAACCTGCTATTACAGTACTTGAATTTATTTTGACCTTCATTTTTTGGAAGGAGGACTGTTGTATTATGTCATAGACAAATCCTGTGAAATAAGAACAAAAAAGTATTGACTGAACTTTCAAACTGTCCTGTTAAATTCACTGAATCATTTTTAAAGAGCAGACATTTGACATTAAAATGTAAATAGGAACTTTGTTTTAAATTCCCCTTAAATAAAAAGATTACTGTGGTATGATAAAATCAATATTATTGTCCTTATCTACTTTACAAGTACAAGATCTCAACTCATATCATTTCTGTTTAATTTGACCTTGAATAAGGATTGGGAAAAAAAATCAATAATCTGCTTTAAGCCACATATACTAAATACAAACAACATAAAAGGTTGAAGCAGCATTTTAATTGAACCAGTTGTCTTGCCACAGGATTTGGAGCCTTCGTTTTTCATTAAAGATCAAGCTCCCAGACAAACTAAATACAGTCATGGTTGTAGCATTTAGGGTTATTTTGTGCATTTAAAGGTGGCTGTGTCTGTGGGTATGTCTATACAGTGAAAGGCAGGCAGCTCCTTGCAGAGACATACTATGCTGCTTTTTGCATGTTCAACATCCTGCACCACAGCAATGTAGCTATGTTCCTGTGGTATTGTGGACATACTAATAGGCTTTTTTCTCAGCAATAATCTGCCTATAATGCTTCCAGCATGTCCATCTTCCAGAAACTGGGCACATAGACTCAGCGTGTTTCACCAACCCTGATTCTACAAACTATGACCAATTTGTCCTATTGGGAGCAGCAGTTCAACAGTCCTATTTGTCCTATTGGGAGCAGCAGAGAACCTCTTTCATGGGTCCTCCCAGCCTGGTATGCAAAAGTGTTGGGAATATTTTGCCTCTAACCCAAATGGGGGGATAGTGGCACCCCACTGTAGCTTCCAGCTAGAGGAAAATCCAATCAGTGTGCCGCCAAATCTTTCTTCAAAAAAATTTCAAGATACATGAACTAAAATGTCCTTTATCTCTTAATCTAAGCTCCAAAGCTCACACTATGTGTACTCTTAGGACAATGGTGCCTTTATTTTTTTAATTTTATGTTTACCTATCAGCTTACACTGTCACTTGTATAAAATTCATAACTACCTAACAAGGATCTACAAAGCACATGTAACAAACCCCGTATGAACACGGTGGACTTGCCTACTTCAGCAGGCCCAGTTGGTTAACTAGCCCATACATTTAAAGCAAAATGCACCCGTTCATGAAAGGACATGCAAGAAAGCCCACACATAGGAAATGAACCTGACTTGGCAAGACATTTTAGCTGGCCATGCACTAAAAGCAAAAGGTACACAATTGTCTAAAAAAAGAAGCTCTGACTGGTAAAAATGCAAATCTTCAGTTAAGGGACATGCATTATTCTTTTAAAATTCACATGACAAGTGTGCAAAACCATGACTTCAAAACAAAAAAATCCCATGCATCCCAGTACAGGGTACGACCAGAAATTGCAAAACAGTGTTCTTGCTGCAGAGTAGGTACATGAAGCAATCCCAACGTTATGAACCTGGTGATTTTCTTTTAGGTAGGAGTGATTTGGGGACAATTACCATACCTTCTGTTGGTACAGTTTATTTTTGCTTATTTTGGGAAATGGTATTAGTTAATTCAGTAAAACTGGGTTTTTTGCTTGTATAAGCCATCTCTCTTCTTAAAAGGCTTTACTGGTATAGGTATACTGGAAAACCTTTCTGGTATAGACAAGGTCTAACTATAAATCATGCCTAAATTGTAGATTTTAAGAGTCATGCTAAGAAGTCTGTTAAATTAGTTTTCTCAAGCTCCCCAAATTCCACATTCATTCCGTGGTTGCTTTGTTCTCTGTTACTGGTAATAAAAATATTTGCTTCCCAACTGCAGGGTTTGTTTGTTTGTTTGTTTGTTTGTTTGTTTGTTTGTTTGTTTGTTTGTTTGTTTGTAAAGGGTAACTCTAAACCTTGTATTTGTAAAAGCACCATAGGGGGTCCTTGCCAAAATTTCCACTAATTATACTTATGCACCTAGAACCTTGTATAACATTCACAAATTTATAGGAATTAATTTAAATGCTAAGAAATTCTAGCTCTGAGCCCAACCAAAGGAAGTATGAACAACTGCAGCTCCTGTGCAGCATCTCTAGGTTTCCAGCATCAGTTGCACATCAGCACTCTGTTACAGAACGATCTTTCATTTTATTATGTGCATTTCCTTTTTTCTAGATGCCCTGAAAACCTTCGACCAGAAGCAGTGAGGCCTTGTTTGCTTCCTTGTAGAAAAGACTGTATTGTGACGCCATTCAGTGAGTGGACACCATGTCCCTCTTCATGTCAAGAAGGTAATGTGATTTACTGGCTATCACTCGACAGACTTTCAAAAAGTCAAATAGAAATAAACCTCCCCACCACCACATTCTTAGATAGACACTGTACTGATTTCTGATAGATTGGTATTGGTCTGTTCTTTCCCTTAAAGCTTTTTAGATGCAAGACACCCTTCATTTGACTAAAGACACTCTCAGAAACTCTTAGTTTTTACTCATGTTTTGACTACAGAAAAAGAATAGAGCAATTCTTCTGTTGCAAAGAATTCAAAGACAGCAACAGATCAGAATGTTGTTGACACGATGGATTCTCACTTGAAGTATTTGGGTTTATTTTGTTCATCAGGTATAGGTGCTTCCATATCAAATACTGCTAATATTCTGTGGCACCCTGCAGCTCCCTTAAGGGTTCCATGTCACCCCAGGGTCATTGCACCCTGACTGAGAATCACTACCTTAGAGGTTTACCTTCTTTTTCAGAACTAGATCAAAGATTAGATGAAGTAGCATTTGCTGTAGTATAGGGGTGTCAAGCTCATCAGGCCCTGTGTGCTGGGTTGGGTACAGAGTTGGTCTGCAGGTTGGATTGGGGTCCAGCATGCACTGCATGAAGTATGTGGGTCCACTCCCAGACCCACAGGCAACATCATAGGAGAGATGATAGGGCTACACAGGCCAGATCTTTGACACCCTTTCTATAGTACATGATCATTTTTTCTGAGCAACAGAACATTGTCCACTACTTAAAGCTATATGTAGTCCATTGTAACATTGTACTTACAGCTGCCAGTCTCCGTGGCCCATGGGCAGATACTCCCACATTTTCTTTCTTAGCTATTCTTAAGTATTTCCTTTAACAGTTCCTTTTTTTTCTCTTGCTGCAGGCTTTTTTATTATAATATTTTCTTTGGATCTGCCATTTTCAAACAGCTAATGAGCCACACAACAGATATGAATTCATTGCTATAACATCATATTGTACAGCTAATACAATATTATATGATTACCTAACAGGACAGATTTTGCCTTTGGATGAATGTATGCTATTTTCTTTGATTTTGTTGGAGGAGCTTGAGCATTCAAGGATGGAATTTGTCACATTTAAAAAATGCATATGATAGACTGTATTGACTAGCCCGTAAGGTGTTAACCTCTAACATATAAGTTCTACATTAGCAGCAGGAGATTCATCTCTTGCTCCCTTTATAGTACTTTAAAAGCTATCAAAGGAAGTTTAACTTTTAAAATAACCAACATTCAAATTTATGTTAAGGGTCTGAATTAAAAATACACTAGAAGGCCTCAATATGTTTGTCAACATTTTTACAAGAAAATTAAATACCGTAAAGCTGTTAGAATATTTATTGCATTGACATTATAGTTTGAGCAAAAGCATTGATTGAATTAATGTTGTCCAGGTATTTCTGCCTTACCCCCTTTTTTTCTTAAGCATGATGGGAGGTATCCATATAATATGCACATATAGAGAGCGAGAGAGTCAATAATGTAATTCCATGTTCCATGTATGTTAATCCTCCTATGAGACATGGTGATTACTGAGAGCCACTTTATAAAACCAAAAAGTATGAGATTGTTACATCATGGCCAGTGGTGTCCCTCAAGGGTCCATGCTTGGACCGGTACTTTTCAACATCTTTATCAATGATTTGGATGTGGGGGTGAAAAGCCTGCTGGCCAAGTTTGCAGACAACACCAAGTTATGGGGGAGCATGGTCATGCCAGAAGATAGGTTGCAGATACAGGCAGACCTGGACAGGCTGGAGAGCTGGGCAGACCGAAACCAGTTGAAGTTCAACACTCAGAAGTGTAAGGTGCTCCATCTGGGGTCAAACCATCCCCAACATACCTACAGGCTCAGTGGCGACAATTTGACTTGCACTACGGCCAAAAGGGTCCTAGGGGTAGTGATCGACCATCTCATGAGCATAAGCGGACAGTGCAACGCTGTGGCCAGCAGGACAAACAACACGCTGGTATCCATTAACCATTGCATGTCATGCAAAACTAAGGAAGTGATACTCTCACTGTACTCTGACACTGGTGAGACCACAGCAACAGTACTGCATCCAGTTCTGGGCATTCATTTCAATAAGGATTTGGAAAAACTTGAGAGGGTCCAGAAAAGAGCCACCCATATGATCAGGGACTTGCAAGACAAGCCATACAAGGAAAGGCTGAGGGACTTGGGCCTCTGCAGCCTACAGAAGAGGAGGCTGAGAGGGGACTTTGTAGTAGCTTACTGCTACATTAGGGGAGTACATCAAGAATGCATGAGCAGCTCTTCACTAGGGCGCACCCCTGGGGAAGACCGGGAGCAATGGATACAAACTCCTGGAAGGCCACTTCAGGCTCAATTCCAGAAAAAACTACTTCACATTCAGGGTATCCAAACTGTGGAATAAACTCCCTCCAGTGGTGGTGCAATCACCTACCCTGGAAATCTTCAAAAGGAGACTGGACAGACACCTCATTTGGGTCACTTGACCCCAATTGTCTTTTCCTGCCTAGAGCAGGGGGACTGGACCTGATGATCTGCAAGGTCCTTTCCAGCCCCTAACAATCTGTGAATCTATGGAATATATATATTCTTTAAATGTCATGCTCAGTTCTCCATGTTTTAATAAGGATACGTTTATAAAGCCACTTTAAAGGAATTTCCAGTTAGTGATTAGATCTTTTTACAACTAATAAAGGATTTAAGAAGATTAAATGTATAAACAATAAAAAGGACACAAAGCTGGAACCAATCAATTTGACAGCATGAAACATTGGGTGTATGGCTTAAAACATGAAATCAGTTACTTCATGGCATAACGATCAGTTTCTTACTGAGATGCTTCTTCAGGATCTGTTGTTTTCTGACAAAGATGCACAATTGTCTTGTTCTATGTCCATTGTTTTAAAGAGAGTTCTTAATGCAGTGAAGTATATGCAGTACAAATTGAGACAGACTGAATGCAAATAATGGGCATGGGCAAATGAGGTGGCAAATCTGTTGAAGAGCACAAATAACATTTCTACTCAATGAGCCAAATAGTGCTTCAAAACTATGCAAGCAATGTTCGCTTCAAAATATTTACCAATTCCAGCTGATTCTGTCAGTAGCACCCTTGGGATTCAGTTCTTCCTTGCTTTTTGGGAGCCAGATCTTAGCTTTTGTTATGGCAGTTTTACTGAATAGTGAAGTGGCAGGATCCTTTTTTGTGGCTCCTCTACCATCTCCCTCTCAATCACTGGTGTTGGAGAGTGCATAGGAATCTACATGTCTAGCCAAGTTTCAGATCCTTTAATAAGCCATTTGCGGCTGTTACTAGCTCAGTTAGTACATCTCAGAACAGATCCAGTAAGTATTATTCTCAGTTGTGGCTTATGATCATATTTCAACAATTTATCCATATTAGGTTTTCTAAATCTATTTTTACAAACCAGTTTTTTAGTTTAAAACTGCTAGATTATAGTACCTTTAAAATTAAATAACTGTTGTGTTCTGAGAGTGACTACAGAATGATGGTTCTCTCATTTTTCTGCCTAAAGCTCTGATCTTTGGAATATGATTCAAATCAAGTCTGCCTGGAATAATTTATTTATCATGAATAATAAATAGCTATAATAATTAAAACGTGTGAACAGTAAATTAAGTCAAGAGCCAGGAAATAAAACTTCACATTTAGATTTGCTCTTTCGAAAAGTTCTTTGTATATCTAGATAGGGTAATATGGGTCCCACGTGGGAAGCAAGTGTGTAGTGAATGGCATTAAAACAAACCCCGGACAAAAACAAATGCATAAATTAAATCCATCTAACTGCTGGGTGTGAAGATAAGAGAAAAGCAATTAGATTTTGTGATTCTGTTATTTAGGGAATGGAAAATTCTAGGACTTAATTATTTGCTACATTACATACTATTTCTATTTCTGTTTCTTAATTTTAGGGATTAAGTAATCTGTAAAAGTGTACACTATAGCAGCATATCAAGTCTTGCTCACATTTTGTTAACTTGTACATTTTATGCATTAATACTGTGTTTGAAAGCAGTGCGTTCTGCTTCTTTATCTTTTGGCTAAAATCAAAGTGTAGGAGTGGAGTGGCAGTATCGTAGCCAATGAAGTTAATCTGAGGCGCGATTGTTGCTAATTGAAATTTTTTTCTGTCATGGTCAAAATAAGTTGACCTTGTCCATCAATAGAGTCAATTGTTTAATACATTATTTTTTCTTAATTACTGTGATCACAGTATAATCATCATTCTAGAAATCCTTGGTGTGTGAGTGGAAAGGAACCAAAATATTCCACTCTTTGCAGGGGCTGCCACAGTAAGGAAGCAGTCTCGCCATCGTGTCATCATCCAGCTCCCTTCCAATGGTGGTCGTGAGTGCCCAGATGCATTATCTGAGGAGAGGGAATGTGAAGCTCCCCCTGTCTGCTATACCTACAGGTAATGCTAACTACTTAAGAGAACTGTGCTTAGCATACAACTTTTGCAAAGCCTGATAAACTGCAAATTTAGGTAAAATAGACCCACTTTCAGCCAAGTTAATATAGATTAAATCTCACTGATTTTGATGGGGTTACATTGTACTTCTTTTTGACTCAGTGATTTAACATTCTGTTTCATTTATATCTGGAATCCATCCATAATTCATTTACTCCAGTGCTCTATTTCTAATCATGCAGCTTTGACTTTTGCAGCTAAATGTAAAGCATACTAAAATATCAACTGTTTTAGTTACTAAATTTTAGGAGGTTGAATACTTATCACTTAGTAATCCTTTGTGAGTGCTGTAGATTAGCTGCAAATTGTAAAACTTTCTTTCTAAATTATTCCAGAAGGCCTCACAAACTAAACACATACAGTCCCCTTGAAATGCACCATACTCTATGACAGAGGGTGACAGCTTGTAAAGGGAAAGGGAATTGCACAACAACTTAGGAAATGTGTATACACAAAGGAAGTTTTAAATTTCCCATTTCATCTCAGTCCCTTGTGAAGTAACACTAGTCATCAACTAACTCCCCTCACAGACTGAATACAATATAGCAGTGGACCTAAGGGACCGTTCTAGGAGGTGGGGATTGCCAGGATACAAGAGTCTGTTGGCTTTAGTAATTGGTTAAGCTAAGCTTTAGGCTGTTTTGCTGTACCAGTGCAGTACACAGCAGTCATAGTGCACAGGTGCATCCAGCCCCTCATGTTTGAAACTTTTAAATAACAGAAAAAATATTTTGATGTAATTGGGAAATATTTTATGAAATATTTAATTTTAAGGAAAAATGTTTGATTCAGAATGTATTGTATTTTCTCATATACAATACACACCCTTTCCTGAAAAATCAGCCCCACACAATTGGGGTACACATATTAAGTGGGGAAGCTGATTTTCTATTCAGAATAGAAGCACCCTACTCAGATTTTTGCTACGCAGTGCAGCATCTCTGGTATTACTATTCAGATAGCTGAGGGAATCAATTGACTTAATGGCTCATTGTTCTTTAAACCAGAGGTATTTAAGAATGGTCTTTCCTTTGTAATGGTTTTTATGTTCCATTAATAAAGTTAACTCATATCAGGACAATTTTGCCATCTGACAGTACTCCCGGTCTCTTCTCCTATTTCACATCTCTTTAGCTCTTAAAAAAAATAGATCCTCCTATGGAAATCAGCTTTCTGCAGCAGCTATGGCCAGGAACACATTACACATAAACTGGTATAAGTGATTAAAAGATGGTCTATATCTGTAACAGAACAATCCAGTGCACATAGACAAAAATGGCAGTTTAAGGTAGATCTGGATAGATGTAGTATCAGATTTAAGCAATTTAGGTTAGGCTGGTCTATCAAACTTCTGTACCAGATTGCTTCCTGACTCAATTTAGGTCGCAGTCCCCCAGCATCTCAGGCTGCTTCGGGGGTCCTCACTAACCCACCCTCACAGAACAGCACACTAGTCTTGGCTCATGCTTGTCTGCTCCAGCAAGCACCAAGCCAGCCCCAGCCCACCCCTGGACTGTCACAGACAAGCCAGAAAAGCCTCTGTCCCCAGCCCCAGCCAGCCCCAGTTATATATGAAATTATAAAAGCACTATATTACATTGATTTTTTTTAACATTTCTCATTCATCTGAATTATGACATCTGGTCCATCAGCAGATTGTGATGTACCTAGCTGAAAAAATATATGAGGGTGTACAGTTCTTGAAGCGGCTGAACTTCAGTACTCCAAATGGTAGGGAATATCATTTTAAAACTTTTTCCTAGGAAGTGTTAACAGCATCATTTATATCTACTTCTGCTTCAGTTCAGGTACCAGTATAGGGTAGGGCAAGTTACACTGAAAGTTGAAGCTTATGAAGGAGTATCTAGCATGAATCAGCAATTTTGGATCACTCTAAACACCAGAGCTCATGGTTTGGCAGCATGGGTCATCTTTTGGAAATATATAACTTCCTCCCATCCCGCTCCCCCACACACACTCATGTCACTTTTGATTACAGCTGGATTGGGACAGTAGCCATCCTGCCCAGGATTTGGGATTTTTAGGTACTTCCAGGGGAATCTAGACATAAATTAGTTGGTACAGAAGAATTTTAGTTGGTAATTGAATTAAATATGCAATTGATTTATTCAATGAGGGTAAAATGTACTTTGTTTAAAACAGTATTTCAGACAAAGCATTGCTTTCCCATCTTGCCAGTTGTTTCAGTGTATGTTCTGAGGAGTGCATTTGGTCCAACAATTTGCTTACTGGTGTACATGTGGCAATGGCTGTCCTGCCCAACCCCTTTTCCCCATTATATATAGCCAAGCTCTGCTTTTCTCTGTGTTCAGCTTGGGAATCTTCAACCCCCTCCCTCCAAATAATATTCTCTCTGCCATTTCCATATCATTGTGCAGGAAAGAAAAACCCCTCTTAAACGCATCAGACTAGAGAATTATTCCAACTCAGTGACTCCAGATGGTTGTCTTGGTGACATCTCAGTATAGTCATTCAGCAAGGTGTCCGTCATCTTTCTGGGTAGAGGGGCTACCTATAATAGTTTATTTGGGACCCTGTACTGGTTTATGCAATCATGTTATCCAGCATTTCCACCCAAAGAATATGCTAAAATGCATAATTTGATTCAGACATAACCCTCTGTGTCTCCCTCCAACATTTTCAGTTATCAATAGACTGTGGACTTTTAATCACTAATAGCAATATGCTCTCAGCATATAATCATACAGAAGGAGCTCTTTCATTAAATTAAGTTGTTTGCACAAATCAAAACCATTATGTGCTATGAATAATACTAAATATGATCAGAATGATACCAACATAGCTATAGCAATTTAAGATTTATGTTCTAGGCATGATAGTCCATAAATTATGCAAGCAGAATTCTTATGGTGATATCTTTTATTGGAACAACTGTGTAATTGGGAGAGAGTTGGACAAGCTTTCAAATACAAGGCATTCTTCCTTAAATGACCTAGAAACTCTTTGTCTAAAAAATCCTTCCCTAAGAAATACTTGCCTCTGACACCAATATTTCTGGACATAGTGCAGCAGAATTTGAGGTAAAATTTCAAAGTAGAAGACAAAGTCAACTTACACAAATCCTAGCAATGATATGATTTTTGTTGATCTGTTCACTACATATTTGTTAACAATGAGTTGTGTTTCCAGTGCTTTCAGATATGTAAAGAAAATCATGGCCAGCTTCCAGAGACCCTTACAAATAAAGAGAAGTGTCAAGCACCTGCAACTCTCATAAAACTAGTGAGCACAATAAGTGGAGCACAGAGGGAAAGAATAAGTTCTTTGCATACTATGTTTTGTTGTGGTTAATATTGGTTAAGAATAGTAAATAAACAATTACTCCCATTTCTTATGGCAGATATTAATTTAGATGAATTGTTTCTAGTTTATTGCTTTCCTCGTTTCAGGTGGAAGACCCACAAATGGCGCAGATGCCAGCTAGTACCATGGAACGTTCGCCAAGACAGCCCAGGGGCACACGAAACATGTGGGCCAGGACTACAAGCAAGAGGTTAGAGCAAGCATTTCTAGTCTTAATTTCCTGCAAGTCCCAGGTTATAATAGGGGGAGGGGAGGGAGGGGACAGGAATTGTGCACTCTTTCATAAACAGTTATAATTGCAAATATAAAGGCTTAAAACTTAATTTTTATTAAAATTTGTGACACCCAGCAGGTGCAAAGACTAAATTTCTGGCCTGGTATCAATGCTTTATTCATAAATTAACTGTTTTAACTTTTATAGAATTTTTAAAGCTTTTATTTACTTTTGCCATGTTCGTGGCTAAGGATAAGGTTATTTCAGGTTTAGTAATTTCCAACCCACTTTCCTTTGCCATGAGAAAAAGGAGCCCAGAAATCATTCTCATTAATTAGGGCAAATATTCCAGTGTGTCTGCAGTGGAAAAGCCAGTGTTTTCATGAAAAAATATGGTAATTTTTCACATTTATTTTTAGTTAGAATTTTATTTTCTTAACCTGTCTTCCATGAAAATATGGTTTGTCTGTGCAAATGTTGTGTTTTCAATGCAGGAAGGGGGATTGTACATTTCTATGGGCAAAAACACTGTAGCCAAATCCAAGATTCTTTCTTGTGTATATCTGGCATATGATAGTGTCTACTTTTAGCAGTCTAATCTTGGGTTCAGTGTCACCTGTATTATGGAGAATTTTTAAAGTTAATACAACCATGCATATGTGACTGCATGATATATAGTAAGAAATACTTTTGAAAATTATTGAAATAATTCAGTACAAAAATTGAAATTGCCTCTTGTCTTATTACAGTAATAAAATTACTGTGAACTACCAATCAACCCTTAACATCAAGAGATTTTTCTCCTTTTTTGAGTACAAGTTCCAATCCATTATAAAAGTATTGACTTAGCAGAATACAGAGACGTTTCCTGAACAGGAATCAGTGATGCATTCTGTTTTTTAACTTACATGTTATATTAAAGCATGTTATGATTTACTTTAGACATTTTGGATGATAAATCTTAAAGCTGTAGTTTCTATAAATGATTCTAAGGGTGTCACAGAAAATCAGTTTAAAGTATAACTTGAAATAAAACCTGAAGGTGTTCCTGTTAATACAAAAAATCTTCTGATGACGGTAATTCTCATGACAGCACATCACTAACACAATCTGTTTCTGGGCCCATCGACTTCTAGAGGATGTAATTAGATTATGCACATAGAAAATAAGATTTATTTCTTTGGTAGCAGTAATTCGGGATAATATAAAATGTTGCCTCCTGCATTGTCAGGACAGAAGTATCTAAATCTGCAGCATAATTATTGACATTTGCCTCACAGTCAGACTGAAGCATGTGCTCTATCATCACAGTGCAAAGATTTTTTTTTTACCATTCACCATGAGTGCTTTACGGCTGTACTATCTGTACTCTAACATGTAACTCCATTCAAACAATATCCAAACATGTAAATAATGGTTTTGGACATTCAGTGGACAGATATTTGCAAACTTAGTGTAGCTGACTTCCAATGTTTTCCTGAAATACTTCCCTGGTAGAAGCTCTGGATCATGCTGAGAAATGGTTATGTGGTTCTACAGATTTATTCAAGCAAGAAGCTTGCCAGCACATTCCGATATAAGGGATTTGGTAATAGCTTTCCAGAGGAGATTCACTAGATTATGGGATTGATGGTCTAGAATCAGGAACTGTAGGAGCAGCTGAGACTGAGGAAGAACCTTGAGCTAAACATATGTATATGTGTATGTGTACATGTACGTATATGTATATAATGCAATACACGCAGTATTTACTCAAATATAAGACAACATGGGGGGAAAAGCCCCTCATTTTACATTCACATTCAAGGAGACTTCATTAAATACATTGTCTATCATTAAACTGCTGCCAAAAGCAGTATGTGCTCAGTAATGGAAACCAACTACAAAGTGGATCAGATGCAGCCAATACTAAGCATAACTGTAAAACACATGGTCCGTATAAGGCAAACTTTAAAAAAAAATTTTTTTTTTTGTGTTCAAGCCAAATCAGCCAAACCAAATCCAAATCCATTAGTCATTCCAGAACCGTAAGTGGCTCTACAACCAGCAAACATCCTCCACCCCCACCAGGGGCTTCAGATATTTCCAAAGTCTTTTGGTGGGCATCCTGCGTGCAAGCCCCAGCCCAAAGGCTTGGGGTTTAGATGCCCCCAAATTTTGCTTGCCCTCAGCCATATGGCCACAAAAGCAAGTTAGGGAAAAGCTTCCCATTTCCATAAAGTGGGCTGTAAGCCCTAACACCTCAGCAGGTACTAAACTATGCCAGAAAAACAGTTAAGGAAAACTGCCATCATGACTCAGACACACAGTGTTTCCCTTGCCAGGTAACATACTGAGGGAAACCTACCACAGGGGTAGGTTAGTACAGCCCATCTGAACAAGTTATATGATGGTGCCCATTGCATTCAGTCCCCCCTCAACACTGACTCTTTTTCAGGTCATTGTGAGCCACTACATTGAATGTATTTTGACTTCCTCTTCACTCCCACACCTGAGCTGCACCTTTCTTTCCCATTTCCAATCATTCCTGTTTCTTCATTAGCCTTAAATGTTTGGCAAACATAACCAAATGGGGTCCCAAACGTCCCATGCAGAGTCTCTCTGTCTCCTCCCCTCTCAGCCCTTCATTTCTGATAAGTGTGGCCCCACCCTTCATGAGATGGAGCCAAACCAGGTTGCCGTATGCCTCATCTGCATATAGTTATGAAGGATTGCAGGACTTGTTACAAAAACACCCAGTTCCAGACATGAGTGGGGAGCTAATTAGGACATGGGGAGGAACAGTGCTCAGCCATGGGGTCACTCTGGCTTGAAACACTGTTGTCTCTGCTGGAGCTCAGACCAAT